TATCGGAGCCCAAAGTCAAAAACTCCATTGCACAGATACTTTCGGTGGCAAGTGCAGGGTATCCAGAGCTTACCTGTAGGGCCCTGAGCTCAGGAAAGAGGGAGAGCGCCACGGAAACTGGTTGCTGGGAGCATGACATAGAAAGGGCTCGTTAAGATGGACGGGAGGGTGCTTAGTTAATCCCACAGTTTTACAAAGATGGAGGAAACCTTGAAGACTTTTGAAGAGTCAGATCTCTTTATGCTTATTCAGTGTGAACTTTTCAATACTTGGTGGTTTCCTATTGTGTAGATAATTAAATGTGGGACTGTTAACCTTAAACTCTGATCTCAGAATCACTGCTGGTTACGTTTAAGGCATCGTTCAGACTACCCTTCTTCCTCAGTCATCCTGTCTGTATAAAGCATATGAGGTAGCCTGTTTCTGGAGTCTTGTCACAGGGTTAAAACTACTTCCCTGTACAACACAGGAAATTTAAAGACAAAGGTTAAAGAACTTGTCAAAAATCATTTGGAAAGTTTGCACCAGTAGTAGAAACAGAAATGAGCTCTCTTGGCTCTTCATCTTCTATTTTAAAAGCAAGAATCTCTCTTGTTTATTGTTAAGTGCACGGGGACACAGCCACCGCAGTTTCTTTACTCCCTTTTGCTTGTCAGAAGCAAATAAAACATTGTTTTGGAAATGGGAAAATGTGAGGTAAAACCCCCAAATTGACTGGGATTTCTGATAGACACTGCATTAGAAATTTATTTAGAACTTTTCTCAACGGAAAGATAACACGCTGGGGCCATCGGGTTATATCTATGGTCATAAACTAGGGAGTGCAGATATAGTTACCACGTACACAGCCTCTTAGTTACCACGTACACAGCCTCTTGGAAAACAAGTTCACATGGAGCATGCTCTGGAGCTAAGCTAGAGGACTGTGGAGCTGACTCTAAAGGTAGCGGTTCCAGTCTTAACTTGAGTAACTTAACTTTTATAACTGGTGTGGACTGTACATAAAAAATTTAAAATTCAGATTGTTTGAGAGCATATTTGGATACTTTGGTAGCTAAGAAAGGGAAGGTAAAATATCTTCAATGGTTCATACTTCCACATGGGAGTGGAAGCTGAGTGTTCCACAGTGACTTCCACAGCTGAGCGTTGAGAAGGACTTGCTAGTATTTCATTCATTTCTTGTTGGAGTGAGCAGTGGCTCTGGGGTCAGAGACGGCTGGGTAAGTGGCAGAGCGACGCGGTCTCTGAATCCATGAATTGAGTCACTTCCCGATAGACCCCTTTCTGGTCCTGACAACCCGCTGATAGGGACTTGCGAATTACCTGCAAGTTTTTGCTGAAGCAATCAATAGCTGGCAGTGAAATTGGATTGCTGCTATTTAGACAGCACCCAGTTTCAGAGTTAATACTTTCCTGAGGCAAACAGGAGCAATTCCTGGATTAACTCACTCACACAGATTGAGAAAGACAGCTCTCTTGCCCTTTAAACCTTTCACGAACGACAGGATGGTAGTTCTCCGTCCGAAGTGTAAGGTTAAAGTACGCTTCTTGCCATGTAAGTTTAGATCCTGCGGCTAATCCTGTAACCACAGAGTTGTGGAAAACAAGAGCCTGGGTGTGGTGACTTGCCTTTTTTCCACTGTTAATTGTGATATAACTGTGATCACTTGGCAGCTGCCCAGCAGCATTTCCTATTGCAGAGGAAACCCTCTGGAAGCAAACAACCTCCCTAACGCTCATTCCCATGTACATTACAAGATCAGGAAAACCTCAGGACCTTACTCACTTGGCTTTCTGGAAGTAGATGTTCGAGAAACAAGTCCTAGAAACAAGTGTCTTGGTACGTCTTTACGGCATTTTCGTGTGCTCAGTCAGTTTTAAATACAAAACAATTTGTTTTTGCAACAGTCACAGGAGGCAGCTCATTCTGAACAAGGTGAAAATGAACACACGGTTAACAGCCTAGGACGAGATCTTGCGGGAAAGACGGACGGCGCCGACCTCCAAACAAAGACAGAAACTAACTGTACTGCAGCTGACACAGCTGAAGAAGAACGTGCTACAGAAACCCACAACACTTCCACATCTTTTGTACCAGCTGAAACAATAGGAAAAGTAGGTTGTAGTTCACACCATTGTTTGCAGCTTGAACCTTCTGACACCAGTTTAGCAATTCCTGGCAAATCTAAGGGCAATGAACCAGATATAGACTCTGCTTTCACAATAGGCGAAACGGCCGTATCCTCGGAGTCGGAAAAACAAGCAGGCCCTCTTTCAGAAGGGCAGGCAAAAACGGAAGGGGGTGAAGTGGCCGCGTGCGCGGAGTCTGCACGTGCCAACCAGCGTAGTTCGGACTGCACACCAGCTTCCCCGGTTCTCCAAGAAGTGAACGCGGAGGACGGAAGTGTGCAGATCATTAGGGATCACACAACTCACTGTGCCGTCACTTTTCAGAATTCTTTGTTGTACGAATTGGACTAACTAACTTCAGTATTTTAGGATTTCCTTCTGTTGTTCAGTGCTTACTGTGACTTCCGTGGACTCATGGTTCAATGCTTGTTAGGGCTTCAGGGCTAAGAGTATTTAAACTGTCTCGTTTACATGTCAACTTAGAATACTTACTCTGTTACTAATTTTGAAGTTTATAGGTCTGAATTTTCTTTAATCACATTTATGGGCTGAAATGTTTACTTACAAGAAAAGAATGATGCAGTTCAGTAGCTAACATTAGGTAAATTTGAGCTCCTGGAAAAAATGCATCTTTATGGTTTATAGAATTTCCTTAAGCTGTGTTGGTAAATTACATAGGCCATTTTTATATATACTTTTTTTTCTAATGATTCTCTCAGGAATTGCTGTATTTAGTCCACCTAGAAATAAGCAGTATTCATCACTTTTCAAAACATTCGCTTTGTGGTAACTGTAGGATTAGAGCGCCAGTGATTTTTAGCAATCAAATCAAATTTCTAATTACATGGAGAAGTTCTAATTAGGCTGCTAGAAATGATTGACACTTATACCATGTATTCTAGCCTAGTACATCACTTGAGCTACACAGTATCCAAATGTTCCCCAGTCTGTCTGTCAAAAGAAGAAATTCAGTTGCACAAAAAAACCTCATCTGTTCTTGTAAGCCTGGTACTAAGTATTTCCAGTTTGCAAAATAGGCTCTGTTTATCCAAACTGGACCTACCTTGCTAAACCAGGTGCTCATGAACTTCAGTGGGCTGGTTCATGTATCTCTGAAGTGCAATAACCAAAAGGATGTATCTAATAATAATAAACTTTCAGTTCTCTTTTCCACTGCTTCTGAAATAACTTCTGTTCTCTTTCAAGTTGTACGGGACAAAAATGTACTTTAGACGTTAAATCTAACTTGTTTCAAATCTGCCCTGGGATTTGACTCTTACAGTACGAGGCTAAATAATACAAGCGCTCATAACGGGGGTGGGGGTGGAGGTATGCAATGCAAGCTTCATTTTCTAAGTTCGGTCAGTGGAAGCCACAGCTGCCCAAAGCATCAGCCCTGCCCTTTATGCCAGCGCAACGCGGATCCAGCTGCAAGAGGAGCGCTCTGCGGGGTTAGGGTTAACCCAGCTCCCTGCCCTCTCACAGTTGCGCAGCTCTTTGTGGGAGGTATTAAGGGGCTGGCACAGCTTTTTTCCAGTAGTTGTGAAACTATAAAAATGTAGCAAGTAACAAAGCTTGTTGCTCAAAGACTGCACAAAAACAGGGCAGTTGTTAAATTACCCAAGGAAAAGAAGCATTTTATCATGGCATATTCAAAATGAACATCTGTGAGTAGAGTATTTTATAAAACCTGTCTCCCTTTCCCTCTCTCTTCTCTTGACTATTTAACCACTGGATTTACAACCCATAATGTAGGTGACAAACGGTGAAAAAAAAAGGACAGCTTTGCTACATGCCCTTCCCTATTTTATCTAACTAAACAAGAAATTTTTCCCCCTCCAAATCCTGTCAGCCCCTTCAGTGTAGTTTAGTGTTTGCTTTACTTCTGTTCCACAAAAAGCTTTTTTAACATGCCACTGCTCCAATTTTGCTTTGGCGTGAAGTGTCAGTAAAACAGATTGTACCATTACACTTAGCCCAGGCTAATAAGCGTTTCATGTCAACAAACGGCATTGCTTTGCGTTGCTCATGGCTTTCAGCGCCGCTTCAGCATAGTTCCATTACACAGCAGTATTTTTATCGTGCACTTCACACAGCTGACTAATTTTCAAGTTAACTTGGTTTTTTTTTTTTTTTTGGTTTGTTTCAAACAAAGTCGGTGTGGTGTCACTCCTTTGTTTCTCTATTTTAATCCAGTTAGAGAATACCATTATACATGTCATTAAACTAAATGTACAGCACTAGAATGAGTGATGGTATTTGTTCCACTCTCTGGATTTAGAGAATAATAATAATAAAAAAGAGAACCTCTCCCCCCACTCCCAACTTTCATTCTAGCAATAAAAGCTTATTTTTTTTGGGGGGGGGGGGGGGAGAATGAAGAACTTCTGCAGTAAAGAACTGAATTTTATTTTGGCAGAACTAAAAAAAAAATTGTATATTTATCTACATGGTAGTAAAAAAAAACTGTTTTTTTTTTCTTCATATAATCATCAAATACATAGCAAATAAACGGGAATGCAGGTACCAGGTATCAAGCACGGCCTGGCAGGAGAGCCCGCGAAGAGCGCGGGCTCCCCGTGACTTCAGCAGCGGGGCCTGCCTCCCCGGCCGGAGCGCAGTAAAGCTCCTTCCCACGCTCAGCGCAACGCTCCAGGCATCGCATACCGCGCTGAAGACACGCTGGATGGGAAGGGGGGGAAAAAAAAGCTGTAAGCACCAAAAGAGATGCACTTAAATAAAAGTTCTCTCCTCCTCCTCCTCCTCCCAGTAAACACAGCGATGGTCGCTTTTTTGCATACAGATGTAAATACTGCTTTGAGTGACCCCGCAGCAGAAACTAGCCTGTTTGAAAGACACAGTTGCCGAACATGAAAGATTACTATTTTGGGACACCTTTTACAAGAATGTTTATTCATATTAAAGCAGAAACCAACTCATAAATGCTTTTATACATGTGACCGTCTGTAAAAGACGGTATGGAACAATTCAAAAAGAAAAAGGCTGCCAGAACGCTCCTCACTGAAGTCTGCGATAACTTTTACAGAGTTCGTGGTCCCTAATATCGCCCCACCCTCCGTTTTTGACATGAGGGGAAAGGGGTGCCATGGAGTACCTTTTACTGACACTCATCGTTTCGGGAAACAGGTACTGTTGGTTGCTGTTCAAGAGCGAGTCGATTTTGGCACTCTGGGTGGACGGCCTGCAGGATTTCTTGTGGTGCATGCCACAGTCCCCAGTATGAAAAATCCTGGGGATTTCGGGAACCAGCACTTTCCAGAACTTTGGAAGACAGGAGACAGTCAAATGCTGCAGAGTCCAGTCCCAGTTATAGTCATCGTAAGTGCAGAAGGCGTCCGTGCACTCGATGAGCTGCTGGTAGGTGTCTCTGCCGAAGGCCATGCCCATGTTGTGCTCGGTGGACTTCCACGTCTTCATCTCCACCTTGTCGGCCCTGCCGGCGAAGCCGCCGCGGACGAGGCCGTAGCTGCCC